GCTCACAAAGCAGAATTTCTGCTCACAGGACTTTGCAGCTTAGAGGGAGCCTTGCTTGGAACCCTGCTGGAAGGTTTGGCTGTGAAGAAACCCATTTGCTGTAACGGGGGAAGAGTTGACGTATCGTAATGATCAGGCTCTGCTGTCCCGGCCACTTTAAATATTTACAATCCACTGAGCTGTGTTCAGTTTCCAGGGACTTTGGCATACCGTCCCACATCTGTGTGTGGGCCTGGTTTGGATCCAGGCCGTGGCGCCTGAGGAAGAAGAAGGTGCATCCCCGCCCCCTGCATTTTTCCGACCTGAGACGGCCCCAGGGAGCAATGCTCTCTCTAAGCGGTGAGCTGGAGGCCAAAAAAACTGTGAGCTGGCTCACACTCACTCAGCTTAGAGGGAACACTGCGGGAGCTGTCCATACAAACTAGATTCTTATATGATTTAGAAAATAAGGCTTTATTACTTCTGTCATAGCTTCGTAATCTTTATAGACTATATCCAATGCTTCCTCTAAGCTACGGAGTCCTGTGAGCAAAAAATCCTGCTGTGTGAGCAACTGGCATTAAAGTGGTGAGTCAGGGATTGGGCTGCTGCTTAAATGAGTTTGCTCTGGAGCCACATCCCTTCCTGAACGGAGACAGAAATGGGTGAGCTGGAGGCTAAAAAAACGGTGAGCTGGTTGGCAGCCATTTTCTCCAGGGGAATTGATCTCTATTGGCTGAAGATTGGTTGCAATAGTGGGATATCTCCAGGTCTCACGTGGAGGTTGGCAAATCTGGCAGAACAAGATTTGGTTTCCCACTCTGCCATGGCAGCTTACTGAGTTTCTCTCTCTTTGGACCTGGCAACCCTATGCCTGGCCCAGGGTCACCCCAGTGAGTGGGGATTCGAACTTGGGTCTCCCGTGGTGCAGTTGTACACAAGACTCTTCCACATTGTCGTTTTTGTCACTTGTTTGTCCCTGTTGCTTTGGGTCATGTGTTGTCCCCCCCACACACATGTGTTTTGCTCCCTCTGGGACTACGAGAGAGAGCAAAACACATGGGGGGGGGAGAAAACCCCCGAAGCAAGAGGAACCAACGACGGATGAGAGCTGGAGGCTAAAAAAACGGTGAGCTGGCTCACACTCACTCAGCTGAGAGGGAGCACTGCTCTGGAGGCGGACTGGATGAGGCCCCCGTCCTCCTCCCCGGGCTCCATCCCCAAATCTTCAGGCATTTCCCAACCTGGCTCTGGCAACCCTATATCCCCCCCCCCATCCCCTGCCAGTGGCCGGGGGGACCTGGCAACCCTATGCCTGGCCCAGGGTCACCCCAGTGAGTGGGGATTTGAACTTGGGTCTCCCATGGTGCCGTTGTACACAAGACTCTTCCCGCATTTTCATTTTTGTCACTTGTTTGTCCCTGTTGCTTTGGGTCATGTGTCGTCCCCCCCCACACATGTGTTTTGCTCTCTCTGGGACTACGAGAGAGAGCAAAACACATGGGGGGGGGAGAAAACCCCGGAAGCAAGAGGAGCACACCAGTGATGAAAATCAGAATGCGGAGGAGCCCACAGAGTAGTCTGAGCCTGTTCAAATCGGGAAGCTTGAGCTGCGGTAACTTTTCATAGGATTCAGCTACCAGATTCTAACTCTCCTCGCATGCACGTTTCCCAAAGGCTCCTGGGGATGCTTTTTTTTTTTTTTTAAACTCTTTCAAAAATTTCCCCAAATTTTTGCCACTTTGCTGGAAGCAATGTGGGGATGCTTTTGAAAGACTCACCATGACCTAGGTGGTCTGCAGCAGGACTGGGCTAACAGAAAGGGGGACTGTCTGCTCTTGAGTGCCCTTCTAAGCTTTATTGCCCCGTGGAGGAGAACTCAGAAGGCAACTAAATGCCCTCTGAGCCCTTTTTTCCTAAGAACTGATGCGCTTGCTGCTCTGTCCCTTGAAAGGAAGGGCTAGAAACAGCTTGGAGCTTTAAAGACAGGTGTTCAGATTAATGTAATTAACTGTAATTTAACTGCCCCCTTAAAGATTTAAATGCCCCCAAACAAAAAGATCCTGGCTGTGATGTTATAGTAATGTGCTGCTTATATGATAAGTAAGGCAGTCTAAGAATATTTAGTGTATAGGTCTGTTTTTGTATTTTTTCCTAGTGTTTTTTAAATCCTGCCATTTCCTCAAGGAGTGGCATATGTCGTTCTCATCCTCACAACAACCACTTTGCGAGGTAGATTAGGCTTGGAGATTGTCTGGTATAAGGTGACCCTGCAAGTTGTATAGTAGGGTGGGAATTCCAGTGGCCCAGTGAGAGGCATCAGAGAGGTAACTTCAGGGTTTCATGTATGGTAGGCTTCACAAGGCTGGGCCCTTGCAGATTCTGTTGTGTAAGAGTGGATGTACTTTCAGCCTGATCTTGTGCAGGAGTTGCTTTTGAAAGTCAGTCCCGTAGTACAGTAGACTTGGCCCAGAGTAACAGGGCAGTAGGTGTTACTTCATTTAAAGGGTAGCTGGTGATGTGAAAGGTCTCTGATGGAGACCCACTATCAGTTTGAGTAGGCAATCCTTGGGCTGGTGGACCAGTGTTCTGAGTTGGCACAGGGTAGCCGCGGTGGCTCAGAGGTTAAGACGCTGAGCTGCAAGACCAGAAGGTCTGTAGGTTGTCAGTTCAAGACCCTAGTGCCGTGTGACAGAGTGAGCTGAGCTCCCGTCTCTGGCCCCAGCACCTGCCAGCCTAGCAGTTCGAAAGCAAGACATTGCAAGTAGATAAATAGGCACCGCTTTGGTGGGAAGGTGGCAGCATTCCGTGCGCCTCAGTGTTTAGTCATGCCGGCCATGTGACCACAGAAACGTCTTTGGACAGCGCTGGCTCTTCGGCTTGGAAACAGAGATAAGGACCGCCCCCTGAGTTGGATTTGACTGGCTTTTGAGCAAGGGAAAACTTTACCTTTACTAGTGTTGTGTATTCAGCGCCCATCTGAAACTGGGTCTGAACACAAGTGTCTAGAACAAATGCACATTCTCCTCTTTTTTATCTCCACCACCTTTACTGTGCCTTATGAAAATCTTGCATACTGTAAGCTCCATGAGGAAATAGGTCTCTTTTTGGTGCTTTGTGTACATTGGGAGTTCTACGCAAAAAATAATACAAGACTGGCAGAGTTCTGCAAAATTCTCATAGGTACGGTCTAGGTCTGCAACCTTTGACTTGGTGTCTCAGATGTAAATTTGAGGCATCAGGTCTGGAAACAAAGGTTTATCTGTGAAACGGAGAAAGGAGTCCCCTAGGTGAGCATAGCAACTAAGCATAAAAAAACAGATTTATTTTGAGAGTAGTTGGTCATTCAGCTATGTATAAAAGCTCTTGCTTAAAGGTTCCAGAAATCTGTTCTATGAGTTTTTATATCCCATGTTTCTATTGACAACAGGTTAAATGTTACGATGTGTGTTCTTAAAGCTAATCTAAAATTCCTGTTTGATTTCTTAAGAATGATGGTGCCATGTTGTTTGTTGTTTGCATATCTACTTTTAGCGGTGGAAGGGAGAGTATGTCTCAGAGGGCTGTACTGACCCTAGCACATTCATCAGGTTTATGATCATGGCAAAGTACAAAAAGCATCTACTCCACTTCCTGCTTGGAGGCAGTTCTTTGGGTTACTGTTCTGGATTACTGAAAACCCTGTGGTTGGACTGGTATAGTTTTTATTGCCCTAATGAAGACAAGTAAGCTTTATGGAGAAGAGTGAAACTGGTGCACAGGTTATATCTGGACTGGTTTATCTTGGTAAATTAATTATTGTGCTTATTAGAAATTTCAGAGAAATGTTCAATATGCACCTGCTAAGAAAGCTTTCGCTCTTGAATGACTTCCTCAAACCAGGGAGCCCCCTTGAATTCCAAATGTTTCTTCTCTGTAGAACCTCCAGCATTAAAGAGATGGGGCATTAAAGCCACAAACCTTTGGTTTAATATATTAGAATACTTGTGGGAAAGGACCTCCTATGTCTCACATTTTTGTCAGTGCTTTCTAAGCCTTCAGATGTCAGCAGAGACCGTGGCACTAGTTCTCTGCACGTGCAGCCCAGTACTACATATGCTTAATTAGAAATAAACCCCATGGTGTTCAGTGGGGCTAACCTACAGATAAGTGTGTAGGACTAATGCTATAACATTCTTCAGTATCTCCCATGCTGTTAGTATAGTGTAATGATCTCAAGGCAAGTTAACATTTCTGCAAGACGTAGCTAATTTAAGTTTGCCTTCAGTTTCTCTTCCTTGGTGTCATATGACTTCTCTGAATACCCAAAAGGAAAAACCACATATGAAGCAAGTCTTCTGATGAGGGAGGGGGAGAGTTCTTGTGCTTTGAAAGGGTATTTCGGCATTGCTGGAACGGAGGGGTGAATTATACAGAGGCCCAGTTCTGTCCATAGAATTTTGAATTGCTTAATCACTGTTTAAAGCTGATTTTTGATCCTGGAATCTTTGTTCTAAGCTGTAGAGCTGTATGCTTAATGTTTCTGAAGGATTCTCCCCCTCATACTTTGCAGATGACTCTTCCCCAACCAGGCACCAAACAACCAGTAAACGCTCAAATGGCCGGACACGTTTGCAAGCAGGTAACATTGGATATATTAAAGCAATACATTCTCAAGAAGGCTATACACATTGTGTGTTAAGTGTATACTGTATCCGATCTCGGCTCAACTATGTACCATACTAGTTGTACTTCACAGACTGGTATTGACTTAAAATGAATGGACTGTATTTAGCCGTGCAGTCCTCGGAATGGCATTTCCACTTGTGGAAGGGTGGTGGTGATTTCTACTGCTTTCCCCCTGTCCCCAGTGCTATTCTGTGGGTCCACTTAACCCGGGAACAAAGCCTCAAAGGACTCAGTGGCCTGCAGCAGGAGGAGGGGCATGAGAAATTACAACCCTGGGAGTCCACAGATAGCGAATACACATGGGGGGTGGGGGTGCTGTGGACCCAGACTGATGGGAACAAAACGTTATAGCTCTGCTAGAATAAAATAACTGGCAAAAGGTGTGATTTTTGGCTTGTCACTCTATGATATTGGCAGTTTTGCATTGGAATTATTTATCACACAGTTATCTCATAGATTACAAATTCTGGGTGTTTTTTTTATTTAGGATTTTTATTTAATGTAGGTTCTGTGAACTTTCCTTCTGCCATGTAAATCGCTGTTTGTTTAAAGATGAAGGTGAAGATGATTTGGTTCCTAATGGCTTAGTCACAGTTGTTCAGGAATGAAACCTATTTTGTAACCCAACAGCTTCTAGGATCAGTAATTTGTAGGGAACCGAATATTTATATCTTGAAGGCATACCAATTGGTCTAATTAACTATCTTCTGCCTCAGATATATCAAGTAGTGCTTATTAATACATACCAAGGATGAAAAAGATGATTAGCCATTGCTATATGTTCATATGTCTAAAATGGTCCTTGGCTGATCGTGTCTTGGCATTTTGTGATCAATTGGGATAGGGAAAAGCAGGTGGTAGGCAATGTTCCCTCTAAGCTGTGGGGTCTTATGAGCAAAAACTCTACTTTGAGAGCTACTGGCATTCAAGTGATGAGCGAGCAATTTGGCTACTACGTAAATTCGTTTGCTCTGGAGCCATCCTTCCTGAGCGAAGACAAAAATGTGTGAGCTGGAGGCTAAAAAACCGTGAGCTAGCTCACACTAACTCAGCTTAGAGGGAACATTGGTGGTAGGTATCTGGGAGGGTTTCCTGACTGCATTGTCACCCAGCTACTCTGTCCTCAGTGCCAGTTCTCTTGTGTAAACCAGCACAGAATAGGCACAGTTTGTGGCAGGAAGCTCTTAGAGCAACATATGTAACATGTGACATTTATTCCTCTCATGTTTATGCAGCATACATACAAAAGGCCAGGTAATTCCAGCATGTATGCAGAATGCCATGCAATTCCAGAATGCTTAATCTTTACCATAGGTTTTTAATAACACTGGTTGCAGTACCACGGGGGCCTGACAATATGCAAGGGTATGCAAATATGCCATTTATACATTGTGTTATATGTACCCATGGAGCTTTAAAGAATTTACTTCGTGGGTTTTGTGGATGGGTAAATGATCTGTCCTGTCTGTACATGTTGCATGCTGTTCTGTTCATGTTTTCAGACTGTTATGTTAATCAGATCAGTTTTTCAGTCCATACTTGAAGGATGTGGGCAGTACTAGTGGAGCTCCTTAATGACTGAACTCCTTGAATTTCTACTTTGTTTTATTTGTTAGGGCACACAAGCATTTTAGGAATTGCCGATGACTCTGAACTTACTCGACCATCTATTAGAAGAAGTCCAAGGATAGGTAAATGTAAACTTCCACAGCAGACTAATGATTAGATCTCTCAAGTAGAGCTCTACAGTGCTTTGGTACAAGGCTTGCATGTGTTGTTGTTGTTGTTGTTGTTAGCCATTCAGTTGTGTTCGACTCTTGGCAATTCTATGGGTCAGCTCTCTCCACGTTTTCCGATCTTGTACTGTTTCTTTGAATTGTTCCATGCTCAGGCTGGTGTCAACTTTTATGGTGTCTGGCCACTGTGTTCTTTGGTGGCCAGGTTTCCTTCTGCTGCTAACCAATCCAAGCATAATTGCTTTTTCTAGTGAGTTCTTTTGCATGACATGGCTGAAATAAGCCAGTCACAGTTCTGTGATTTTTCCTTCCAATGGCATGTCTGGTTTTATGTGCTCCAATACTTGTTTGTTTGTTTGTCAGTCACCTTTGCTGTACACACTACTTAATGTGGATTTGAACATTGAGAAATGCAAAACTAATCTCTTGGCTACAAATCTACAATTGCTTTTGTTTATACCAGTGTGGTGTAGTGGTTAAGTGTGCGGACTCTAATCTGGGAGAACCGGGTTTGATTCCCCACTCCTCCACTTGCAGCTGCTGGATAACCTGGGGCAAGCCATAGTTTTGACAAGAGCTGTCCTTGAAAGGGCAGTTCTTGAAAGAGCTCTCGCAGCCCCACCTATCTCACAGGGTGCCTGTTGTGGGGAGGGGAAGGGAAAGGAGTTTGTAAGCCGCTCTGAGACTCTGAGTGAAGGGTGGGGTATTTATCCAATCTCCTCCTCCTCCTTCCAAAGGGTTGTGGGGTTGGATTAAAGTTTATTTGAATGCAGAAGTCAGAGCTGCCCCAGGGAGAACAGGCAACCTTCCTTTTTTTCTCGTTTCCTGTATTTGATTTAATAACTTAAGCAACATTTCTTTGTCTTAATAGGATATTCTTATGACCAAGGCAAGGACTCCACACTGAACAAATCTGGTTAGATCATTTTCTTTTTGAATAGTATCTACTACAGTGCCAAGGCCATTTATAGCTTTCGTTGAACTTGTTGTTGTTCAACTCTTGACACTTTTGTGGGCCAGCTCTCTCCACATTTTTCCGATCTTGTACACTTTCTTTGAGTGGTTCCATGCTCAGGCTGGTGTCGACTTTTATGGTGTCTGGCCCTGTGTTCTTTGGCGGCCAGGTTTCCTTTTGCTGCTAACCAATCCAAACATAATTGCTTTTTCTAGTGAGTTCTCGTTGAACTTAGTTTCCTGCAGACGTTAATAATTAATTCCTGCATTGTTCAACTGGCCACATAGCTATATGTGTGGGGTGGAGAGAAGTGTCATTAGAAACAGACACAATTCATAGCTTAGTCTAATGCCTAGAAAAAAGTTCCTAGAAGTACAACTATTATAACTGTTTTTCTCAATTATAGCACGTTGTAATATTCATTTTAATGTATGGGCATTTAAAAATTAGCAGGGGCTTGCACTGAAACATTTGGGGGGTGGAAATGCCACTGCACATGTCTAACTTCTCAGCCTACTCAAGTCTTTAAGAGCTAGAATCATGAGGGCAAATTCCCTCCCCCCCTCATTTTTTCATGGATTATAAAAAAGAGCAAGAGTCCAGTAGCACCTTAAAGTCTAACAAAATTTGTGACAGTGTATGAGCTTTTGTGAGGCACTGCTCAAAGAAGTGAGCAGTGACTCACAGAAGCTCGTATCCTGCCAGGTTTTTTTAGCCTTTAAGGTGCTGCTGGACTCTTACTCTTCTCTACCACTACAGGCAGACTAATATAGCTACCCATCTTGATCTGTCTTCTTGGACTGTAGCCCATCACAGGTGTGTTCAGGGGTCATTTCCTGCTGGAGCGCCCCAGAGCCGCGGAGAAGATTGGGCAGGGAACCCAGGCATGTCTGCCTCTCCCCCTGAGCCTCTCCACTTTTGCGGAGAGACTCAGGGAAGGGGAGGGGGTTAAACTCATTTGCATATACAAATGTGTTATGCAAATGAGCTCCTGCATCTCTTTTTCTAGGAAATGACCCCTGGGTGTGTGTCTCTGTCTGTGGGGCTCTTCAGTTAATTTACAAACTTTTTTTATACCTGAGGTGTCCCCCACATATGCAGAAAACTGTATTATGCTTGTGAAGGGTCTGGTCTTGGCTACTTTCAAGGTTGGCACAAGCCACCAAGTTTGCTACTAGATACAGAGTGATATGACAGACAGCCCCAGAAATCTGATTTTAATCCTCTTATCTTTTCAGAAGGAGCAGCAGATAAAGAGGAGGATGAGAGCGAGAGCAAATCAGAAGTTAAAAATACTGTTTATAATTATCAAACAACTCAGAGATACTATTCAACAAAAGGTAGTAATTGTGACCTATTAGTCGTCTTTTTCTCTGTACAGTACCCATTACTTACATACCTTAAGCATTTTGTAGAGTTTTCTTGGCTGTATTTCTGAGGCATCTGATGTGGCTCCCGTTCAGACTATGGTGTGGATGGGAATATGCCCTATTGGCCATGCGTGCATTGCATGAGACTGTCTAGGGTGGATCTTGTAAAAAAAGAAAAATAGCTTGCATAGTTTGGCAGAGGGGATCTTTCCCCACCATTCCCTTTTCTCAGCAGCCTGCTGCTTGTTTTGAAAATCACTGGGGGTCAAAGGATCCTCACTTGTGCCCATGTCTTGTGGTGCACTTTATTCATGAGGGTCCCCCCCTAATTTTTAGGGAGCTTTTCCAGGGCAGGTTGCAGGCTGGTAGGAGAAGGCAAGGAAAGATCTACTCCATGAACTCTTTCAAAAGCTTTTCCACAGGTACTGGTCCTCTCTTTTTATCTGTGCATGTAACATCTGGTGATACCAGTTGGTGAGCGGGTATCCTTTTGCACCAAGGAACCATCCCTGGGCAGGGTGGGAGGGGGGCTCTTGGTAGTGGGTGATTCGATCCTTAGGCAGGTAGACAGCTGGGTGGCGAACCCGCGTACTGACCGTATGGTGACTTGCCTGCCTGGTGCAAAGGTAGCGGACATTACGCGTGTTTTAGATAGGTTGGTAGATAGTGCTGGGGAGGAGCCAGTGGTCGTGGTGCATGTCGGCACCAACGATGTGGGGAAATGCAGTCGTGAGGTCCTGGAGGAGAAATTTAGGCTGCTGGGAAGGAGACTCAAGGCCAGGACCTCCAAGGTAGCCTTCTCAGAAGTGCTACCTGTTCCACGCGCAGGGCCGGAGAGACAGGCACAGATCAGGAGTCTCGAATGCGTGGATGAGACGATGGTGTAGGGGGGAAGGGTTCAGGTTTGTTAGGCACTGGGATTCTTTTTGGAACAAGAGGGAGCTGTACAGGCGAGACGGTCTCCACTTGTCCTGAGAAGGAACCAGGCTGCTGGCGCTTAAAATCAAAAAGGTGGCAGAGCAGTTTTTAAACTGAATATTGGGGGAAAGCCGACAGGAGATGAAAAGTCTCTGGTTCGGGTTGGCTCATCTCAGAGAGATGAGGGGGTACCTGTTGCTTTTCTACAGGGAGGTGGATTGAAATTGTCCACAGAGGCACAAATGCTCGAAGTGTCCGAGGTAAAATCGGGGAGTTGGAGTGCTTGGTGTCAGAGGGAAAAATAGACATTGTGGGTATTTCAGAAACTTGGTGGGATGAGGAAAATCAGTGGGATACGGTGATTCCTGGTTATATATTATATCGGAAGGATAGGGGGGGGAAGGGTTGGAGGTGGGGTGGCTCTGTATGTCAGAGAGGGTATAAAGTCCAGAAAGATTGAGAGGCTAAGAGAATTGGATTCGCTTCTTGAAGTTCTGTGG